CACAGACAGCCTCTCGACAATATGCGTTTTTGCTGGCGCTGCACAGCAAAAACGCATAAAAATATGCTTATGCATTGCCAACCCCCTTCTCCCCCGCCTCTCTTGTGCCCACTCCAATGCAACCCCTCTCGAGTTCTTCCCGTACATCGCGTATCCTCGACTAAAACCGTCAACATGGACCCTCTTCCTCCCCGTGCACCATCATTCCTCCCCTCCCTCCCCCCTCCCCCATCACACCGAATCAAATCGCAAATCGTGTAGTGGCCAAGCCGATTTAGTAGTTGTCATCTTACAAAAGCAGCGGCGCTGAGTTATGGTGGTCGCCGTCTTACTGATCCGGAGGAACTGGCAGGAAACGTGCCACATATTTATTAATAATCGTGCGTCTTGCTGCTTCCGGTATTCTACCAACAAAGTTTACCTGGCACAAAATTCTCAGGGCATCATCAATTCTGCATAAATTACACCAGCCAGCAATCTTCTAGTGTGTACTACCCATCGCATGAGATTTTGGCGTCCTAAAACTAGAAAGAAAAAATTTGGGAGTTTGCATTAGTGATCAATTAAGTAATTTTGATGCATCATTTTGGATAAAGCAATAAAAATAACATAGTTACAAGCAAAGCTTTTGTGTATTAACAAGATAAGCATGGCAAAGAATTCAGTTACTTGTAGATTCAAGCACAGGACAGTAAAACCCGTAAACAAAACAACATCAAGCAGCAAGTTTTTTTACAACGCAATAAACACAATCATAGCAAAAAACTGCTCCTACTTTTCTAAAACTTTAAAAAGCTATTAAATGAATTATGACAATGTGCAGCTTAAGCCATTAAGTGTTGAATTCCCATTCCGGATAATAATGTTGCCGCATTCGCTCAATCAATCTCTTGACACGCGGATATTCATCATCCAATATATCTGTTACAGGCTGACGAAATGGCAGGTAATACGAGGTTGCAAAATGACCAAACACCGAAAAATCTGGCTGCAAAGCAGGATATGACATGGCATCCATAATAAGCCTTTACGTGATAACATCGGATAAAACTTCAATAAATTCACTAGGGCAAGCGAAATGTTTTTTATCAAGACAGCGGAATGGCGGTTCAATAAGACACTAAAGAAATATTTTATTTTTTCTCGCCGAAAGTGCATCAAGAAGGAAGTGTAAGGAAAAAAGAGACAGGAGGCTGCGCATCTTAAAAATATGAAACGCCAGAATTGTTACAATGAGAAAACTGTAAAAATCTAAGTACGGCAATGAATGCTTAGAATATATTAAATCATACCGTAGTAGGGCTCATCCCGAAAAGAAATTTTTTATCCCCCAAGATGGCATCAATCGCTGCGATGTCCTTCCGAAGCATCTCAATCAGATCGTTCCTTGAATGCTCACTGATGCCTGTATCCGACAGAAACCGGTGCACCTAAATTGGCTGCGGTAAATTCCCTACCATGCAGGATTCACTGGATCTCATTCTGATGAAAATAATGTTACTTGACATTCTTTCGTTCACTTTTTATGCGTTTTTTGCAGTAATGCAATGCAAAAAACGCATATTGACGAGAGGTTGTCTGT